CTGGTTGTATCTACGGTTACTAATACAGAGCTACATGCTTAGCTTAGAATGGCTCACACTATGGTCATGTAAAAGTTTTTTAGTATACTTTGCTTGGATTATGACCGATTGTATTCAGAAAATATAGATGTAATGTCTGCAGTTAGGATAAGCATTTAACAGTCACCTGAAGTTTAGGTTCACAGGGAGGAGCTAGAGTTGTCAGCCGATTATTGGGTACTTATACATACAATTTGTGTTTTATGTAAGGGTGTACCTTTTATTGTAGAGTAACAGATGGGAGTATGTGTGCATTTAGTCAGTGAGGATCCTCAGTTACTGATGCTATGAGTCTTTCAAGCCTCTTGAATGTCATTTTATACTCAAGGGAGAACTTGATATTTTTGGTACCGGATGATAATGGTCTTATGTCCCACCCCCTTCCAAAATAATATAAAATTCAAAAGGGGAAGAAATAATTCTATTAGGAGTTTGCTTTTTGCAAAAAAAGTTTCTTCTATTACATATGGAAATATTTTCGATGCGACACTGATGCCCTTGCTGCTTGTTGACCATTCTGGAGCTGGTTAATTACAGGTCCATCCAATATTGTCTCAATTGAGTCTGAAGAACAGTTCAATACTTCACTTCGCAAAGTACAAGGTATTTCCATGTGATTAGGCTCAACAATATACCTGTTTAATTTGTGTATGTTAGGACTTATGGCTCCCACACTTGCTCAATATCTGTTCTTATGTTGCAGATGAATCTTTGCCTGCAATATTCTACTTTACTGCTGTCTGGTGTGGACCCTGTAAGCTTGTTAATCCTTTTTATCGATGCATATCTTTTTGTTAATATTCTTTTTATCACTGCATAATTTCAAAGATGAAATGTCCTGCATAGATTTCTATTCACTTCATTTACGTTTCCTTGAAGACCTCTCATTGTACATCATGTCAAAGCAATGAAAAGGGCAATGTCTTGCTTTCCAATTAGCTTTTCTTTAATAAGTAAATAATTTTACTATTGATGCATCTCCTGGGTTATTCATGATTACTTCAATGCTCCTTTCCTTTTTCAGGCAGGCTGTTATCTCCAGTAATTGGCCAATTGAGTGAGAAATATCCTCATGTGACAACATATAAAGTTGACATTGACAAGGTAAAGAAATGTCTTCCTGTTGTAATGTGTCTTAGAATCCTTTCAGGAACCCCTATTAATGTGTCATGCAAATCGCTCTTTTGGGGTGCTGATAGGTGTCAATTCTTCTTCGCTTCCTTTTTTTGGATAAGTTGAAATTATTATTTTTAAATGATGCACCAAATTGGTGCTCTTATACAAAAGAAGATACATCAGACTAGAGTACAACATTAGGGCATCTATAAAGTAATGTAATCCTCCGATCGCGAAATAACAACACAAAACAGAGATTTGAGTCTTCAGATTGCTGACACCATGATTGTCCAGATCATCAGTATTGTTTTAATTGTTATCAAGAGCAAAAACTCTAACCAAAAGCATACTCATTTGTCACCGCATCCCAATTGACAAATGATTACTGAATATCCATGCAGTCCTTTTTTCACTCATTTCTGTTGCACCCTCCTTGTAAACATGGCCAACCTCTTGTATTTTTAGATGAAACTTAGAATCGTCACCTATCTAACCCTGCCTAGACCATCACCATCTTCTTATTCATAAGACGCCTGGCACTCCAATAGTTTCAATTACTTGACTACTACCCCTTTCATATTTGTGCTCCCTGTTCCTTCATAATTCACTGTGGATGTCAATCTCCTCAATCCCAATATGTTCCTTCTTTCCTTTCAGATTACAGCAGGAGTACTATTCTTCCTTTCTTGACACACCACCAGTGTAACTAGTTATATTTGGTCTCACTATAACAACCGTGTAACCTGAAATATTTTGCTTCATATCAATAATCTAACTTTGACACCTGGTACGTCTCGAATTCTAGTTTATCTAATGTTGTTTTATTTTGATACATATGTCACTTACAGCTATTCCAAGGTTTTGAGTCTTTTGGTGAATCTTCCTTTACGTTATAAAAATTGAGAAAATTGGAATTGGATGAAAAAAGAAACATTAATACTAGGACTTGGATAGTTATGTTAGATTCGTTATGATGTAACTTGTAAGACATCTTTTATTTGTCTGTTCTTTTTACCTGCTGCATAGCTATTTAGTTTATTTCCACCTTTTTGTTTCTGGCAAATACTTAAATTAGATGTCTGTGTATGATGCTCTGAAGTCTGATCACAGCTAAAAATGGGTCTTGATTCCTGATTGTGGCTGTTCAACTTACTGGGGAATATTACAGAGAAACTCTTCTGGAGATTTGTGTGAAATAGATAATGGACATTTTTGAAATTGATATTAAGTTGCATATTACTTGGGTTTAACATCTATGTTTGTTTAATTTGTGAACCCCCTGGATCCTGATTGTATGACATCAGACAATGGGTAAACAACTGCCCAGACCAAACAGAAATAAACCCTTTTTCTTGGATGAGTGAAGCAGAATTCCTAAATTACTGGTTTGATTGGAAAAAAGCAGCTCTTTTTGTTGTTGCTTTCGTCACATTGAATTCCAAGATAATTTTTGAATGTTAGGGTTGTTTAGTTACCCTGATGATGGTCTCTAGAATACCGAAGTCATTAAAGTCGTAGGCTCGTAGCCAGCTGTAAGTCATGTTTACCTGAACTTTTTTTTTTATAGCTCGTAGCCAGCAACCATGTCTACCTGAACTTTTTTTTAACATAGAATCCCCCCTGAGATGTAACCTGTTATTAGTGCTGTTGCACATATATTCAGCCTAGAGTTGTTGCTGCTGCTTGAAAATAATGCTAGGGTGGTCAAATGGTTGGCTTCAAGTCCTGTTCTTGTGAGTGTTGATTTTATTTTAATATGCTGGCACGTTGAACCCAGTGTTTTGGATAGCGTGCGGTGACAAATAGCGACGAGGGCCCGCTTCACTGAGGCGAGAGGCGCGCAGCGAAGCGCTCGCCTTTTTGATGTGAAGCAACAATTTATACGAAAACATAAAATATTATATACATCTAACTAAAAACTCAATAACAATAATATATTAATAAATATATCATTCAAAAGCTACAAACTCAATAGATAGTCATAGACTCACTGAAGAACAGAGCATCAAAAGAAAATTAAAGCTACTGCCTGACTGCTTCTGCTCGATTTTGAAAAACAGAGCATAAAAAAAAAAAAAAAATACAGCCTCTGCTCTGAAACGACAGAGCTGAAAGAGATGATGGAAGAAACAGAGCAAAGAACCCAAAAACAGAGCAAAGAAAGAAAGAAAGAAAGAAAGAAAGAAAGAAGAATAACAGAGCAAAGAAAGAAGAAGAAAACAGAGCTGAAAGAGATGATGGAAGAAAGAAAAACAGAGCTGGGCTGAAAGAGAAGAAAAACAGCGATCACTGAAGAAAGAAGAAGAAAAAGAAAAAAGAAGACCAGCAATGGTGGTCGACCAGAAGAAGAAGAAAGTAGAAGAAAAAAGGAGAAGAAGAAAAGAAAAGAAAGAAACATACCTGGTGAAGAAGGGGCGGCTGATGGCTGACGATGGAAGAAGAAGAAAATGTGAACCCAAGCCCTAATTTTGTTGAAGGAGAACTGGAGAAAAGGGTCGCTGCTCGTATTGTGAGAAGTGATTTAACCCAAGCCCTAATTTGTTGTTTTAGACTTTTAGTAATAAACAGATGCCTTTTCTTGCATTATATTCAAATAGCGATGCCTCGAATCGTTCTCGCATCGCAGCGCCTCTCGCTACAAAGTTAGAGGCGCTCACTTTTCTTCATCGCAACGCAACAGACCAGGAATGGAGACACTGCCTCGCATCGCATTGCTACACGCTTTTAGCGCTGTAGCGAGCGCTATTTATAACACTGCTTTGAAGTGCTGAAGACTGCTTGTCATTTTTCTACATTAAGGCTTGCATTATAAGGAACATCAGCTGGTAGTATTCTCTGTTTGAAAAAGTGAGGTATCTTGGAGCTTATCGCTTGCCATCCCTTTGAAGTCGGCATGTTTGGTATTTTTAGTTTTGACATTGTTGAATTTGTGTGCAGATAGCAGTTGAAGTACTATTAATATGTTTAATTTGGACCTGAGGTTATCTGCAGATAACAAGTGATGAATTTATAATTCATAATTTGGCAAAAAGGAAGAATTGATAAAAAGAACATCATATGGCCAATTCGTTAAGATCATGGGTTTGCCTTCTGATGAAAGATGAAGTCTATGCTACGCGTCCTAGTTCGAATACTTTCTGATAATATGTTATGATGCTTAAATTTGTTAGTTTCTTAGCCATTAGTTTAAAAAATTCCTCAGATTAAATTTTTGTAATTCTGTAGAACTCAGTTGTTGCATTTTGGCTCTCCAAGCCTTCCAATTTAGTGGTTAATCCACTTGCATTCAATTGATCCTATCCACTTGTACACTGAGCATGTTTCCACATGCAGGAGGGGCTTGGAAATGCATTGAGCAAGTTGAACATTCACTCTGTGGTAAATATCAACTCCCTTCTTCTCCTTATCTTCTCTGAAAGCAGACACATGAATACGCGTAAGGATTAAATCAATTTAAAGATTATTATGATCAAGCAGTTAAACTTTATAACTGATTACAAATCTTATATACATGATACTGTTATATCTATCAAAAGATTTCTAAAGAATATGTTTTCTTTGTCCATTATCATAAACATATACTTGACCAGTTTTTGTTCTTGTTATTCTCTCACTCTACTGTGCTGGTAAGATATATTCGGCAAGAAGTATATAGTACTCTCTGTTTGTGATCTTTCTAGGAATTAGATATGCATGCTTTTCTACATTTAAATAACACAAAGCAGAATGAAGTTTGTTTCCAATAAATGGGTGAGTGATGGAGTAGAAATAACAATTTGGAGATCCCGAATTCAAATCCCAGCCAACGCTGGGTGTGAACCCATCTACTCTAACCTTGTGAGTGGGTTCATCCGACACCTGTGCTTGTGGGTTGTAACAGACTGCTCGGTTGATTAGTGTGTGCAAGTTTGGCCCGACCACCACCTTCAAATAAAGGAGAAAAAAGAAAGATGCTAAGTTCAAATTAGCTCGGAAGAAAACCTATATAAAATTTAGCGATTAAGTTGTAAGAATGTCTAGAGATGGACTTTCCAGTAATGTAATATGATGTTGTGCAAAGCCAATCAGGGATAGAGATCCAAGGCATGTCTTTCCAAAATAAGATGTTCTTGTTTATGAACAAAGGGCATCTTAGAGAGCATGATGCTCTAGACGCTGTCAACCCCTTGTCATGTCTTGGTTATGCAGGTTCATAAACTGTTAGGGAGAGCAGGTAATGGTTGGAAACAGGTGTTGTCCAGAGTTCCACTAGTTAATTAGCTCAGGGCCAAGGATGATTTATCCATTTCTCAAAATTTGAGGTAAGGTTTTAGATTGTTTTTGTGGGAAATGGACATATTGACTAGAATGTGGTGGTTAAATTATTGTCAAGAACAGAAAATGTTAGAAAGGAGAACCATGAAAAGAGGATTTTGTGTCATAGAGAGTGCTGGAAATACATGAAAAAGATCTAATGTTTGAGAGAGCGGAGATTTGTGTCTTAGTGGAGATGCATGTACACTATTAGAGAAGATTAGGGTTTTCATGAGTATTCTCCTCTAGAATGTATTCAATGTATGCGGAAATTCCAGATCATGTGATGTTTCATCAAAGGGGAATACTTTGAATCAAAGAAGATAAAGATATCACAAGAGACTGAGAGCTTACTCTGGTGCTATGAGGTTTTCGAAATAAAAATTGATGATTCTGGTGATGTATATTAAGTTCATAATCAGATGGTTTAACAACAACAACAACTACTACTACTGCTACCCAGTAAAATCCCACAAAGTGGGGTCTGGAGAGGGTAATGTGTACGCAGATCTTACCCCTACCCCGATAGGGCAGAGAGGCTGTTTCCGATAGACCCTCGGGATCAGATGGTTTAACAAAAACGTCAAAAGCTGGTTTGAGTTATACATGGTTCATCGGTAGTCAATTTCTCTCTCTATATAAACTGAAACTATTCATCATATGCAGCCTACATTACACTTCTTTCAAAATGGGAAGAAAACATCTGAAGTTATTGGTGCTGACGTTCAACGCTTGAAAGATACCATGGAAGAGCTCTACAAATGATTTTTACCTTGAAACAATTCATGTCTGTGTTGAAGCTGATATCAGGTCTGGTTCTACAAACAGTAACTCTGGCGTTTTGAACTTTTATAGTTTCAGTAATCATTCCTAAAATTTAAGTATGCTCAAATGTAATGTTATCTGGTGCTGATTGTTATATTTTGGTTTCCCCCGAAAGCTTGTTGTTCACAAGGCAAAATGGCATCTCTTTTTCACAGCAATTCGTTACACCCCTCCTCCAAGTATTGTATAGATAAAATTATTCTTTTCTTGCTAAAGTTTATATCTCCCAAATTTACATCAAAATTAATTTATTCTATAAGATTTCTAACACTATTATTTTGATGAATTAAGATTTTAATGTATTTTGTAAATTTATTTTTATAGTGTTATATATTTTTATATAAAAACACAGTGAGAATATTAGAGTTCAGGGGTAATTAGGCCAACTTAACTTTCAGTTGTGTACTTGATAAAAAATAAGTTTAGGGAGGTTCGATCTCTTCTGCCTTCTATGTTTATCCAAAAGTAAGGTTGTACCACCAAGCAAATGAGACGTGATAGCCACATAAAATGTTTCTTCAAAACTGTTCATTTGGCTATGAACAAACATCGGATTAAATAATTAACTATTCTTCTAGATAACATCGTGACACTATTCTTCCAAATCTATCATTTGCCTAAAGAACTTTTTTACTTCACTACGTCATAGTCTTCCTTCACTGGATTTACTTATTCATTAAAAAAGGTTTATTGCTTTGCTTTTTAAGAAGTTAACTCACTTTAATTTTATGCGTTACATCTACTTAAACATTAGTCATTTCAGTTGATCTCAAGCAAATTAAGTGGGCGTTTGGACATAAGAATTGTAAAAGTGAAAATGATATTTGAAAATTAGAGTTGTGTTTGGACATGAATATAATTTTGGGTTGTTTTTAAATTTTTGTGAGTACTGAGAGTGAATTTTGAAAAATAGCCTTTTGGAGTTTTTAAATTTTCGAAAAATTTCAAAATTTTCAAGTTAAAATTGAAAATTTTATGATTTCGAAAAAAAAGTAAACTATTTTAGAAAAAAAGTAGAAAAATTCTTATGTCCAAACGGACTCTAAAATGGTAGACTGGGATAGAACGTAGGAGGACAACAAGGACACAACGAGGTTGTCCCGTGATATTACCCTTGTGCCTTCCCCTTGTAAGCCACAAGCATGAAACTTTAGTCATATCAGCTGGTGATTAGTTCCTCTTCCTCTCCCCAAACCCCAATTAGTAGTATTTCTTATTTAACTTGTATACACTAACAAATGTAAGACTTTTCGTGGCTAATTTCTTATTCTTGTCAAGCCATATTTCATAATTAATTTCTCTTATTATCGAGA